TTTTGCTTATTCAACTTACCCGCATGATGTCAGTGCGCTCCATCTTTCATGCTGTATTATTGCTTGTACATATTTCTTAATCGGCAATAAAAATCTATCTAATCTATCTAACATCTTATCTCTTGCTACGAAGTAATAAAACCAATGCAACAAGCAATGAAACACTTGATGAATATTTAATTTTGCGTTGTTTCAATGTTCATATCATATCTTATTCCATAATATGATGAATTTTTACAACTTGTTTTCATCTGCTTTCTTGGCTCAACCATCAATCATACGGCACTGATTGAATGAAACAGTAAACTGTTTTGTGAACGTGTATAACGGACAACTTATGCAGCATATTATACAAAATTTCCGCACTGAACTTTGTTTAGTTGATGATGACACAGTTGCGTTTGTACTCAACAAAAATTTGAACAGTTTCAACCTGCAAACCTTACGGTTGTTTGGCATCTGCACGCCTTATGGCAGGCAACATCGTTGCCGACTGAAAGGCGATTACTCACTCACAATCACAGTGAGAAACGGCACGAAAACGAACGTTATGAGAGGCGGACAGCATGATTGACTATGCATAAACGAATTTATTTGAAAGGGTCGAACCATAAGCTCACTCACATTCAGCAGCAATGCCGACAGGCCAAAGCCGGCCTGAACAGGTGTGTGCGTTGCATGAACGTGGATTACAGTTCACAATGTGGAATATAACAAAGCTGATGAATAACATAGTACCATAATGATAACACAACAACAACAGTGTCGCATAGTACCATAATTCAATAAAACAAAGAACAACAGAACAATAATTAGAACATTTATATCACTTATCAACTATTCCTTCATCACTTATTTTCACCAACCAGCATTCGTTAGCCTAAACAAAACGATCACGAAACCATTAGTCATTTCATGCAATTCTGATGATTCTGATGAACGATTTCTAGCCAATTCATAAACTATCGTCCCAATAGTGCGTTATAGCAGCTTGAACGATGCTTGATTGGCTTGTGGGCTGAGGATATCCGTGGTTTCAATCTTCCATTAGTTCAGTCGCTTTTTGCTACCAAAAATGGAATTCTTCAAGCGTTGACCCAATCCCGTACGTTTTTCTGAGCCTGAAACACGGTTCGGTTTGATCGATAAACGCAAATAACTGATCTGCAGTTGAGTACAATTAAATCAGCCCTAATGTTAATGTTCAATATGATAACGGTCAAATTCAGCCATTTTACGATCACTATTCAACATCAGCAATCTATGCAAAAATGCGATCAGTTCACCAAAAAGTAATGAAATGAATCACACACATTTCAATGAAATCATTAACGCTAAACTATTACTCGATTCTCTAATCANGAGATATCAATTATGCTCTAATTTTATTGCTCAATGCAAAAAACACGATTGATCACAAATTAAACGCTTTTGCTTTAGGCAGCATTAGACTGTAGAACGATAGAAATGCATTTTTTCTTCGAAATATTATCGTATTGATAAGCGATGTATTGTTTGTTCAAGCTTCATTAGTGCTACAGATCTCCTGCTTCAGTTATGCATATAGACAAGAACTCGTATAGATCGCATGGCAGATGGCTGTCATTAATCACGAATTTTCAAACAACTTTTGATGTCAGGTCGCTTTAGTGTCATTTCAGGCATGAAAGACATCAATGATCAGTCATAAAAGTTCACAAAGATCACTGCTCAGATAGCTGTCTCGCTCTACTTTCACTTAGTGGGCACAGGCGGAGTGAAACGATAAAAATGTTGAAAGGATGGAAAAAAGATTGAGAATAATGTTATCAATAATGTCTTATCGATGAACGATTAGCTTTGAAAGCATGACGATTACAATGCGATGAAATGGCTTAACATGTCCGTTTGTTTAACGCTGCTCTCCGTACTGATAAACAAGCCATAATAGCACAAGAGAGCAAACACCAANCTAAGACTGTTGCTCTTCATTAGTGGTGCATGACCGGTGATTTTTTCATCAGAAACCTGGAATATTTTTTTTGTTGGAAAATGTCAGTAATACGGACAAATTTGGGCAGCTTCTTTCAGATTCTGTTTGAGTTGATTTTCATACTCTTAGAACTGAATTTGTTGCAGTCACAATACTGGAAATGTATCAGTTAAAGCAGACGTTTTCACACACCCTATATTCTCGCCTCGAAACTGTTTTGAGCAACAGAACAACTCACAGAACACAATCACAATCTTGTAATCAATGACCAAAATGCAATCACCACAACCTTATTCAACGACAGCAACGAGGCGGCATTCATTGGTGGCTTCGATGAGCCGCTAATCTTGCGCAGAAACTGGCCGAATCGATTGGTGGAAGAAGCGCCGCTAGCCGCTGACCTCCCTTTAGCGGCAGCGTTATTTGAAGGAGGAAGACGATGGCTACTCATCGACGTATTATCCGTTTCTGTGGCACTCGAGAATCTCCTCTCGTCTATCTGAAAGATGATAGAGCTTTACAAGTGCAACATCATGAAAACGAATCGAATTATAACCGATGAAATCGCTCCTCCGCAATCACCTTAAATGAAATAAGGCCCACCTGGATATTGTCATAGAATCCATCGTCTTCATCATCATCACCAACACTGGTCGGTCTAGAACACATCGACTGTTTTCCGTTCAACGATCCTCGATGGCCACTGCCAGACGAACGTTGCAGCGAGGAGGATTGATTCGTCGATGTGGCATAAGAGGATTGCGCTCCGAGCGATGATCCTGATGAGTAGTAACCACCGGTTTGAGACGAGTTTGTTGAACCTGAAATTGAGCGTATTTCAAAACACCAAATTCCAAACTTTTTCCTCAAATTGCCCATAATATTTACAAATGTGAACAATGACTTACAATCGAAGCCTCTCTGAAGGAACCAGTTCTATTTTTAGACAAAATGAATGCAACATGATTGACTTTTGATCGCTACTGAATTCAGGAATACACATGTATATGATCAATGCTTCGTAAAATCGTGCGATTCTATGCTCTGACCGGGAGGTTGTGAAGGCGGTTGAGTGACTGGAAAAGCAGGAATCGATGAGATTGATTCACGTGATAGTGAGTTCGAGGCGGCACGGTAAGAGGGTTGTGATGAGGATATTACTGACGAGTTTGTTGTGGATGAATGTGTTGTGTTCGGGTGGTGCTGATTTCTGTGATGTTGTTGTTGTGCTGTGACATTCACTGGTGGTGGCTGGGATACTGATGAGAATTTAGTTTTGCTCGAAGGAGATTGGGGCTTAATGTGTGAATAACCTGACGGTGATGAGACCTGCAAGTGACCATAACAGTACTACAAAGTGAAATGCAAAAAAAATCAAAACTGTAGTCGAATTGAAGAACGATAATAAAATTCAGTTCACAGCGCTGATTGAATACGTGAGATACGTCATGCTCGTCAGTGTTCATTGATACATGGTGAAAGAAAGGCATTTTGCAGAAAAGTGCAATAAATTCATGAGTTTCGAATAGCTCCTTAAGACACTGGATTGAAATCAGTGGTTATTGATCGAGAAGATAGTGGAAATGCTCGAGTTTCGAGGGGAATAAGCAATCGTCGATAGTCACCTCTTTCTTTGCATTACTGAATTCGTTGATCTCACAATAATTTTCATCTTCTTTACTCGCTCGACGCCCATGCCACATATTACGTCGCCATGCAGGTGGAGCAATATCTAAAACTACTTACTGAACTTAAACGTATATTTCATTGAAGATATTAATGGCACACCATCGTCATATAATGCCATCGTCTTTCACTGAAGCAGTGCATTCATGAGGTGAAATCATTGAGCATCANAACCCTCGAGTGATTCAGCAGAAAAGCACCAAACCAACGAAATCCATGTGTTGGCAGTTCCTTAACCTATCGGCAACTTTTTGAACGAAGCTTCATACACTTCACTGCAATACATTCTAAGAAGCCATACTAGCATTAATAAGCTTTCAGCAGTGAATAACGCAGTCTACACGTAAAACTTCTTCTTCTCATAGCATCAATTCCCCATCAACTTTCAGCAAATAATTCAATCAGACTGAAAAAAAGACAACCGAGCTGATAGTGATCAGTATCTGAGTAAATGATTGATCAAAAAAGTATTCTCCTCGATGACAAATTAACAGTGAATGGTTGGTTGCTTAACAAAGAGTGCTCGTTATCTGGACGCGGATGCAAAGAATGAACACAAAACAAGAAACAGGTTTCTTTTGGAACTAATCTCCGAGATTCTAGGCAGAAGTTGAATCGAATATTCCACGAAACTATGAAATTTGATGCATAAAATTTCACGAAATCGTTTCGTTGCCCATTCCCCATTCCACTGCGATCAACAAGCGATATAAATAACGCACCCTAATCGCTACTCGACAATAAGCAATGCCACTAATCATATAACAACCACCGCAACTAGCTTGAATACTCACTTGATGTTTATAGAATCTTCAAATTTGATGGCAAAATATAAATGTTTGTAACAAATGAAGAGTGGTGTCGTTGAAAAAATTTTGAATTCATTCATGGGAGCGTGATGATGCTGATTGACTTTTCAAAACAATTTCTGACGAGATTTTGATTTCGCTGAAAGGTAAAAGCTCATCAATAGTGCTCTGACCAACAAATGGATATGAAACTGCTCTCAATGATCAAAGCAAAAGACATCATGAATCGATGGCATGATAAAATATCCCTCAACACTGAATGATCAACTATACTGATAATTTTTAGTTTTGATGGCACAATCGGAAAACACTCGGAATGCTCGCATATTCAGTAAGATAGCTTTGTTATTCACCGTGTTTATTTTCGAAAACCGATTGCATAGCTTCCACTTTGCTTGGATTCAATTTCTCCTGATTGATCGTCTCAAATGGTGATAGTACTTGGGTGGCTCCGGACGTTCCGGATGTCGGTCGAAGTTCTGAAAAATGAATCGGATGTTCCCTTTGAACAGTTTGAAATCATTGATATGACAGCATGTTTGAGATGTTGATTGATGATGAATCTATCGATTAGTTGATGCATTCTTCATATGAGGGGAATAAAGGATAAACGAACGATCGCTCCTGCGGAATCGTGGACTGCTATCCTCAGCACCAATATCACCAGCCACATTGCGTAACATGTTTGTCATTTCATCGAAGGCCATTTTTTGTTGTTTCACACGTCGCACACCGCGATCAACAGAACTGAAACTCACATTTTCAGATACGAATCGCAAAGCTCTGCAAACCACTCTTGATATTCAGCTACAATAAGTTACCGAAGAACGGTGATATGAAGAAGATGAAAAGCAAAGCATTCACCTTGTTTTTGATAGCTTACTAGTGCCATTAGTAATCGGTTGATTGTTTTTCGACTTTTCGTATTCTGGCAGACGATTCGATGAAGATGCCTCAAGTCGTGTTGGGAAAGAGCGCCGCTTGTCGGTAAAATTAGTCTGAAATAATCATCGATCGGTCAAAAGGTTGACTCAGAACTGCAAAATTAAGAAAAAACCCGAAAAAAATTGTTCAACAGCGAAAAATTCTGATCTGTTCAAGCAAACCTCATCAGTGTTCAGTTCAAGTTCCGCTACTAAGGCATCGATAGCTAACACGGGATCAGGCTGTTTTGCGACAGTTTTCCCTAGCAATTGAGTGCTTGATTCAGGTAGACTGTTCACAGAAGCACGCATTGCACTATTGTTTGGCGTGTATTGAGCGAATGCACCGTTACGATGGATGACAGCGTTATCATCCGATCGGACACTGCTCAGTGTATTACAGGTTTCCTAAAAACGATGATTTCATGGCCTGCATCATCCTGACCATCTTATTCAAGAGCTTTTGGATTGCATGAGGTTCCAGGAAGCTGTAAACCTTTTTTTTTTGAATATGTTCTTCAATCGCGACTGAACTCATGGAAAGACGACTAAATGTTTAAACAATTTCAAAAGTGCACTGAAACATGTTGGGCATTATTCTTCAATCCGGGAGAATACTTTGATAAATCGGTGTTATTGGGCAGTGTTACAATGAGAGACCTGAGAACTGGCTCGCCATTGAGGTGCTGCTGCTTCATTGCTTCGTTTGCGGTCAGAAATTTGATTGTGAGATGCGACTTTTTTGAAACTATGCTGGATACCACCGTTCAGATGCCCTTCGCTATTCACCCTGAAATGTCGCTCCATCATCCCATAATTGTACTGTGGTAAGGTCAGTTTGATACACTAGAACAGTGGTTCTCAACCTTCCCCCTTGACTCCCTACAAAATTTCAAGGTGTCCAAGGTATGAATGCATGTGTTCTGTTGATATGGAAGCATAATTCGAGAGTTAGATGATCCTAATAATCGGATTCTATGCTGGCTCATTGAAAAGAAACACTTCAACACACACGATCTATTGTTGATCGTTAACAATTGTTCAGATCTGTAATGTTATTGTTGAATAAGTGATCAGAGAGTGTGTGCAATAGAATGAGAGCTTGATGTCAGCTTTTGAAAGCAATGAGGCGAAAAGAATGAGAAGTGGGCAGTGCGAGAACGTATTGAATGAGAAAAGCTTTGAGAGTGATGAAAGCAGTTTCTCAGTATTAAACCGTCGACGAGACCAAACTGAATGAGAAAACGACAACACGAGTTCGCATTCAATGAGAAAAGCTTTGAGAGCGTTTAGAATGCACCATAAAGAATGAGAATTTCGCTGAAAATATTTATATTCAACGTTCTCTGAATTGGTCGTTGATTATTTCGTTGATCAGTCAACAGGATGCTTTCAACAGATCTATAATACAACTGAGGACTCATGCTCATCAATAAGTTGTTCGAATCATGGAATGCAATTGAAGCAATGCGAATCACCGTTCACTAATTTCGCGAAACGGCTGTGGATAGTGGTTATTGAAGTTATACGCTTTGCTGCTTGTGGCAAGTCCGTAAACTGGGTGTGGACGCAGTGGTTGCGGTTTGATTGGAACCGGTTGAACGGGTGCGTTGTCGAACTTCTGTTGTTGAGGAGGAGGTTGCATGTTGATTGATTTCCTGAAAAATCGCAATTATCACGCATGTTCACTGCTAAAACAGTCAAAGGCGGTAGCCTGAAATCTTAAAAAGTAATCAGATTCATTCATGAATGTAACGTAACGACCGATAAGATCAGTAACACTGGTCCGGGAATCAGGATTCTACAGAACTGTACAATTTTAGTATTGGTCTGAGCATAACCCCTCTAGGTTCTCGTCGTTCGGAATGTGAACCCACCTGGCCGGTTTTGCCGGTGGGACGACGGCATCCTGGAGAAGATCCGGTGTTTCACGCTGTCTCCTCTTTTTGCGATCCATCGAATTAATCGCCGCCACTTCAGCCGAACAACTTCCAATTGAGCGTTCATCCAAATCGTAGTCCATTGGTTCCTGCCAGCACTTTTCATATTATTCTCATTATAATGCCTAACATCGAGCCAAAAAAA